CATAAAAAAGTGTCATTAAAAAGGAAAGGAAAAGGAGATCAGCATAGATGTAAGAAGAGATCTGGAACTCGCTCTCTATCATAAGAGTACCAAAGCCAATGAAAAGTACAAAGAAATCAATGAGCAGAACAGAAAATTTCAAAGGTCAGCTAGAGAGGACCATGTAAAATAGTGTAATTAAATGTGCAATGGCCTCGAGTTAGAAACCCTAAAATGAAGGACACTGTCAGTATATCTTAAACTGAAAGAACTCAAGAAAAAATCGTGCCTTTACTTGCAATTGAATGATGCAGGAAGCATCACATGAGGATGAAAAAAAATACACAGAATTACTGTATCAAAAAGAACTAGTCGACAGTCAGGAGGGAGCATATAAGCAAGAATCAATGGTACTGAAGGAAGAAATCTAAGTTCCACTGAAAGAATTAGCCAAAAATAAGGCTCCAGGAATTGCTGGAATACCAATTGAAAGGTTTCAACAAGCTGATGAAGTGCTGGAAGCATTTCTCATCTATGCCAATAAATTTGGAAGACAGCTACTTGGTCACTAAATGGATGAAATACATACTTGTACCCCTTCCAAAGAAAGGTGACACAACAGAATGTGCTCATTATAAAACAGTATCATTGATATCACATGCACGCAACATTTTTCTGAATATAATTCAACAAGAGTTGTAGCAGTATAGAAATTCAGGCTGGATTCTGAAGAGACCAGGGAACAGGGATACTATTTTTTATGTCAAATGGATCTTGGCTAAAAGAAAGGAATACTAGGATGATGTTCCCTTGTGTTTCGCTGACTATGCAAAAGCTTTATACTGTGTGGATCATAATAAACTATGGATAGCCTTGAAAAGAATTGGAATTCCAAGAAGCAATGTGAAAAACAAAAAAGGGGTGGGCAGGTATTGAATGATTTAAAATCAGAAAATATGTGCTTCAAAGTTGTATCCTTTCATGATACCTGTTCAACTTGTATGCTGAACAAATAATCAGAGAACCACCGAAGAATTTGGTATGGCAATTGGAGAAGGCTTCTTAAGAACCTGCTATATGCTAGTGATATGACCTTGCTTGTTGAAAATGAGGAGGGTTTGAAGTAATTGTTGATAAAGATGAAGGATTTAATCCTTAAATATGGATTACAAATCAATGTAAAGAAAACAAACGTCTTCACAATTGGACCCAAAGCCACTATGATGATAAGGGGAGAAAAGATTGTAGATGTCAAGGATGTTATTTTCCTTGGATCTACCATCAATTCTCATGGAAACAACAGTCAAGACATCAAACCAAGCATTGCACAGGGCAAGTCTAATGCACAAGACCTTCTTAAGGTGTTTTAAATGAATTGTGTTACTTTGGTGAATAATGTATGACTAACTCAAGCCATGGTATTTTACATTGTATCAGATGCATTTGAAAAATGGACATTCAATAAGGAAGACCAAAGAAGAATTGATGCATTTGAACTGTGCTGTTGGTGAATGTGTTAGTCTGGGTAGACTAGAGAAACAAATTCATAGCCACTCATATGTGTATAAAAACAGCTTTATGTACAAAAGCAATTGAATATTGAAAAAATATCCCAGCTCATTCCAGATCAAGTCCATAAGTCTGCTATTAGCCCATATGTCTGATACCGATCTATAAATTCCTCTTTGGTCTATGAAACACATGCAATGACACTGAATGCCGGAAAATCATAGGCCAGTGGGTATAAGGTCTTATGGATCCAGTGGTGGTGGAAGCCTCTCAGCACTGGTGTGGGTCTCCACATGCCTCCTCCAGCTCTCAGGGCTCTGAATGCATCAGGGTAGCTCCATATGTCTTTTCAGCAAGCATGTCTCACAGGAAGTGGATCTGTGTCCCACCTCCAGTGAGCTATTTATCTTCTTAGCACCTCCAAATGCGGTCATCAAGCTGCAACCTGATTAACAGGCTAAACTCCACTCCTTCACACATAAGGCTCAAATTGACAACAGATTACGTTAACTTCCACACTGAAGAATAATAAAAGTTGTGGGGACAAATAGATCTGTCTTGGAGGAAGTATAGGCAGAATGTTCCTTAGAGGCCAAGATGGGGAGACTTTGTCTAGTGTACTTTGGATATCTTGTAAAGATAGACCGGTACGAGAAGAACATCATGCTTGGTAAAGTGAAGGGGTTATGAGAAAGGGCTGACACAGTGCCTGAAACAATGGGTTCAAACCTACGAATGGTTGTGGATTTGGCTCAGAACCAGTTAGCATTTTGTTCTGAGGTATATAGGGTCACTATGAGTCAGAACTATCACAAAACACATAACAACAGTGACCTTAATTTCATTCTTCATCAATTTAATATTCAAAATCCTAACGAGTATATGCAGGTGTTCTTTTTCTTTTTGAGTCGTGCTATTTCAACAAAAGAAGATCAGAAGAGCTTTACTCTATCAAGTGATTATAGTTAACTCTAAGGAGCCAGATCTTCCCTACTTATGTTTTAAATATCTTCTGTGGTAATCACAAACTTTAATGTCACCTGAAAATATATAAAAATGTTGGGATTGTATTCAACGAATCAGGTCACAGCCTGATGGTGCCTCCTTGTGGATGTGATCTTCTCATAAGGAGGGCCATGGGACCCTACCCCCTCTCTCTGCCTTCACCTTCATTCTGGCTGACCCTGATAGCTACCATGGCCCTGGACAGGTGTCCATTGCCATTAGATCCACAAGACTTTGAACCCACCTGTGATATTTTGCATTCTGTAAGTGGTGGCATGAGTCTGAATAAGGACTTACGGACTAGTATCAGATTTATGGACTATAGTTGGCCTGTGCTTCCATGTTTTATATATATATATATATATATAATTTCTTGATATAAAACTCTTTTTTATACATATCAGTGTCACCGGAGTTCTTTCTCTAATGAATTTGGCTTAACACACCTTCCAGCCTAAGAAACCTAGATTCCAGCCTGTATCAGACCAGGGTCTGCTACTATGTATAAGTTTGCTGGCCTTTTTATGTTTGTTTGTTTTTAGAATGAGATCACTCATTCCTTCTTTCTTAGTCAGGAAGCTCCCCTGAACTTTGTATACCATGAGTGACCCTGCTGGCATTTGAAATACCCCCATCACAGCATTACACAAGCCATCAAAGAGCAACAAGCTGAAGAATAGTATATGTCAGCAATGCTGTGCCAAAGAGGTTTGACTATATGAGCGGAATATATATACTTATAAACCAGATTTTGCAGCGTCATTATTCAGAACATCTAAAACGGACATACTCTTAAGTGTTCACTGATAGACGAATAAGTACAATGTGCTGTAACCATAGAATGGTGTATTCATCAGCTCCATAAAAGAATGAAGATAAATGATTTAAAATAGATGAGCCTTGAAAAACTTCGGGTTAGTGAATGAAACCGTAAAGACTATGCAGCAGATGATTACCTTTATATAGAATTTCCAGAAAAGACAACTTCATAGACATAAGCTATATATTAATTACTCTCAGTGTCAAGACCTGAGAAAATGGGCATGGAGTTTAGTGTTTATTTGGAATGATGGAATGCCCTGGAATTAGATAGAGTTGAGGAGTGCACATGTCTGTGAGCACACGAAAACCTAGAGCAGGCATGCAGGGGAAAGACGAGGCTTTCTGCTGTAAAGATTGACAGTCTCAGAAACCCACACAGATAGTTTTACTTCATCAGAAAATGTCACTCTGGGTCAGAATTAACCTGATGGCAGTTGAGTGCGAGCATTTAAGGATGTCATTAAAATTCACATTAACTGGCCAGGGGAGAAGGGTGGAATAAAAATTCACATTAACTTTCCTTTCCTTAATAACTTTTTTAGGCCCCGGGACACCTCTTTGTTACGAAGGCTGTAGATGAGCGGGTTCAACATGGGGGTTAGGATAGTGTAAAAGGCTGACACCATCTTGTCCTGGTTTGGTGTATGGTTGGAGGCTGGCCTCATATACATGAACATGGCAGCACCATAGTAGAGTCCAACGACAGACAAGTGAGAGGAACAGGTGGTAAAAGCCTTACGGTGACTTTCCCCAGAGCCCATGTGGATCACAGCTCTCAGGACATGGGAATATGAAATGATGATAACAGAGACTGGCAAGATTAGCATCACCACACAACAAATGAATAGCAGTTGTTCAAATGTGGAGGTGTCTGTGCAAGATAGAGGCAGAAGGGCAGCAACATCACAGAAAAAGTGGTGGATTTCCCGAGAGCTGCAGTAAGAGAAAGACAGGGCAGCTGCAAGCACGATGATGCCATCGAGAGAGCCTAGGATCCAGGAAGCCACAGTTAAACGCATGCCAAGTTTTTGATTCATGAGGATGCTGTATCGAAGAGGGTGGCATATAGCCACATAGCGGTCATAGGCCATGACAGCCAACAAGAAACATTCAGCGCCAAGCAGAGACACATAAAAGAAGATCTGGGTTCCACAACCCACCAGAGAGATAGAGTTCCTGCCAGACACGTAGTTGAAGGCCATCTTGGGCACTGTGGTGCATATGAGCATCAGGTCCATGAGGGAGAGTTGGCTGAGGAAGAAGTACATGGGGGTGTGGAGGTGGGTGTTCAGGTATATGATAAGAACCATTGTAGTATTTTCCATGAAGGCCACTGTAAAGATGCCCAAGACCAGGGAAAAAAGGAAGACGTGGGTGGGACTGTGATTGAAAATTCCCAGAAGGATAAAGTCAAAGTAGAAGGTCTGGTTTCCTGAATCCATGGCCACTATTTTCTCTGAAGAGGGAGGCAAAAGAGAGACAAATTCATTTACTAACTAATAAAACTTGTTTTTAATGTGTAGCGTAGCAAGACCATGGAGTTAGGTATTCATGTGATTCATGCTACATGAGAAATTCTACCGAACCTGAGTATAAAAATATATGTATATGTGTGCATAGATATGGATATTCAACATATATATACTGGATAGTATAGATCATAACATACATAGGTATAGATATATCATATACATATATGATATATAAACCTTTTTCTACTTAATATAAGCAAGCCAATAGTGTTTGACAATTTCTGCAAAGACAACAAACTTCCAAGATCTAGTCTCAAAGTCGCATGTTGGTGTTCTGTTTGACTTATCTAATCACAGTGCATTTTTTGATTTGGTCAAGTGATTTCATGTTTTCTTTCTCTTCCAAGCTTCATAGAAACCAAACTTTATAAGTGTTGACTTTACACACAAGAAAAGTGAAATTTATAAGACTTACTAGATTCACCATCACTATACAGTCAATATAGTGCCCTGGAGGGAGAAATATATATATATTATATAATTATATATATATATATATAATTTCACTTTCCTAATTATAGCAAAAACGTTTTATTGACCAATTTCTCTTAGTGTGCTTCCAGATTTCTGTTCTCCTTAATAACTACAGAACTTCTGTTCTAATGATTGCTGAAATCCCCACCATTTTCCCTTCATGACTCACTGGTAAAGGTGAGTAGGGAATCAATATCATTGCCCCCATGGGCACACCTGTAAACCTTAACTCAGATAAAAATGTAAGACCATAGCTGGAGGCTATTGAATCTCTTCTGACTCCTGATGACCCCATATGTGTCAGCGTAAAACTGTAATCCAGATGATTTCATTGGCTGATTTTAGGGAAGTACTTTTTCTATTTTTTTTTCTGAAGTGCCCCTGGGTTGGCCTGAGTCTCCAAACTTTGTTTAGCTGCTAGTCCATTACATATTTGCCCCACCCAGGTCCTCCAGAGGGTGTAGTACTCTATTGTTTGAACCTTTCCACTTTGTAACAAGCTCCCTTGTCTTACCTTATTAAATAAAGATACCCATTACATATACACATATATATGCATATACATTTTCATGTACATATACATAACACTTACACATGGCATGCACATATACGTACATACACATATGCCTTTTGTTGTTAGCTGCCAGTGAGACAGTTCTGAGCCATATAGACTTTTTGCACAACAGAATGAAACACAGTCTGGGTCAGTGCCATCCTCACAATATCCCTTATGTTTGAGTTAATAGTTGCAAACACTATGTCAAAACATCTTGTTGAAGATCTTCCCTTTCTCACTGCTCTACTATGTCACTCAGCATGAAGGACTTCCTCAAGGTCTGGTCTCTCCTGACAACGTGTCCAAAGTATGTGAGATGACGTTTTGCCATCCTTGTCTGTAAGGAGCATTCTGGCTGTACTTCTTGCAAAATATATTTGTTTGTTCTTTCGGCAACATGTAGAAGATTGTAAAATTGCTCTTTTCAAGTGAATTTAATTAAGAAATTAAAATCTCATCTCCCCCCCCCCATGACATGCCTGAAGTCCGTGGAATACGTGGAGCTATCCAGACACCTTTTCTACATACTAACAGCAGGTGGCAATGTCTGATACCCTACTGAGAGCACAGTGCACCTCTGACAACTACTCTAAGCTACCCTTACACGGTTGCTGCAGCCCCTGTTTCTCACTACACCTTTGATGATTTGAAAATTAGCTTGAAATTTATTTTCCTACAGTAACGTAACGTGTGCTCACAGAAGCTCTTTTCAAGGTGCACAGACTAAATTATAACAATTTCTCCCCCACCAAAAAAACAGACATGACTCATGTTTGTTTCTCCCTCATTGAATTAAATTGCATAAATAGTCCAGAGAAGATGTGTATTTCCATTTCTAACTGGAGTATAAAAGGTATCTTGAAATTTGAGCTATAAGTGCTAAAATTAGAGAATAAGTCCTCAGATCACACAATGTATTTATGTACAATTAATTTTGTATATTTTAACCCTATATACACAGCAAGCAATCTAAATTCCAGATAAATATATCAAAAAACATTTATAGCTATCTAAACTTATACCCATGATAATCCAATTTACACAGTGGAAAATAAAGAACTAATCATCCTTCTTGATTCTTATATTTTTAAAGTAACACTGCATCACAATTTCATATGAAATGATAAAATGCCCTCATTCTATCCTGAGCAACTTGTTTCTCCTAAATGATTTCTTGTTAATTATTAAAAGGAAATGGAAAAGAACACCTGGAAAATATTTATGAGTTAACTAAATCATAACTCTCTGATTTAACCATACACTATTTAGTTGCCTAAATTATACCACATTGAGTTCTTCCATTTCTTGGCACTGATTGATAATTATCTTTGCTAGTATATTCGTGACGAATTTGGAATATAAATAAGAAAACTGGGTTTTGTTTTTCAGCAAATCAGTTCTCTAATAATTTGTAGACTAAAAATGTATTCTTAGTAGCATATAAGGGCTTTTTAAGTTCTAAATTTCCTTATGTCTATTTTAAAGCAGCACTGTGATCATTTATGTGAAGAAAATACTTAAGGTTTGCATCAACCAATTGGAAGATGATTATGTTCACTTTATAAGGACACTATAATTTTTCAAATCAATTAATAGATAATATGGAGAGGAGCATACTTCTTTGTTCTCTTCCTCCTCAGTGTTGGCATGAAGGAAACTGGTGGGATCCTCAATATCATGTACTTTACCCTTCAGATCAGGAACTAAACTTTCATCTATCTATCTATCATCTGTCTATCTATCTATCATCATCTCTCTACCAGTCATCTATCTATCTATCATCACCCATCTCAAGAAATGAAATAAACAACATCCTATTAACCCCTCCATATGTTCTCCCACCCACCCTCATTTCCATATCTCCTCTTGTTCCCACCCTAGTCACTGGCCTCCTCAGATTCTTCAAAGTCTTATCTGTTGTTATATAAACCACGTTTCTTTTTCTTTATTTTTCCTTATAACAATGGTGATACTAAGTGTTTATCTTTGTATCATTGAGTTTAGTACCCATAATATTCTCTAGTTTTTGTCCATGTTTTGCTGAGTTTAAAGAAGTTTAATTTTTTTTAAATCATTCCATTGGAGGCTTGTACAACTCTTACCACAATCCGTACATACAACCATTGTGTCAAGCACATTTGTACATTTGTTGCCATCATCATTCTCAAAACATTTGCTTTCTACTTGAGCCCTTGGTATCAGCACCTCATTTTTCCCTTCCCTCCCCTACTCCCATCACTCATGAACCCTTGATAATTTATAAATTATTATTATTTTGTCATGTCTTACACTGTCCGATGTCTCTCACGTCACCACTTTTCTGTTGTCTGTCCACCAGGGAAGGGGTTATATGTAGATCCTTTATATCGGTTCCCCCTTTCTATCCAACCTTCCCTCCACCCTTATCGCCACTCTCACCACTGGT